TGTACCTGCGCGTGCCTTGGCGCGTTTCTCAGAAACTGCCTGTCTCTCTGGGTTTTTTAGCCCATCCCATGTGCCCTGGATTCAGCATGCTTCTCCCCTGGTCTGTGGGCTCACACATAGAGTCAGGACCTGTGATCCCAGGCGTGGTTTCAAACTGAGAGAAAAACATGTGCCCGTGGTTTTCTTTGGCTGTCTCATGCTTACAAGGATAAATGTGTTTGGATTATGTCAGCATGTCCACGTGTGTGATCTGTGTTTCTGCCATGTCTCTGCAGACCTGCATGCCACATGAAGATACAGGTGTTTCTATGCCAGGCAGGGCACCTGGGGCTCTGCTCTCTTGGTCGGTGAAATGCTTGATCCTACGGAGGACCTCTAACCCCTCAGCCAAAGGCGGATGCCCAGCCCTCTTTCTCAGCCCTGCCCACTGGTTGAATGCAGGCCTCACCTCCACTCAAGCCGGTTCAGGGAGAAGGCAAGGGTGCCAAGAGTGCAAGTCCGTGGTGGCTCTGATTGCAGGCGGTGGACTCAACCTCACCTCTACCTTCCTCAGGTGAAATGACCGGGCAGCTTCTGGGACAGAGAAGATCCCTCCCCGTTGTCATCATTTGGGACATATCCAGGTCCCCGTTGGGGCCCAACATCGCAGGCTCAACAATGGAAAGCAGTGACAGTCTGGTTGCTCCGACAGCCAGCGCCAGGCTGAAGGTGGAGGCTCCAGATGGACAAGCCTAACTCCTAGCCCAAGATGTCCTGCCCACAGGAACTACCGGTGTGAGCCCAGGACCGGGCTGCTGCTTCCATAGGACCTCCTGGCAGAGTCCCAGTCCCCTCTCGCCTGGAACACGGGTCTGGCTCAGCTGGACCCCTGGCCAGGATCACACTGGGTCCAGCTGAGCTGGGTCCAGCTCAGGAGCGACAGTTGCTTGGTGGGTAACTTTCGGCATGCCTCCCTTTCTCAGCTGGTAAAAAAGGGGTGGGGGATGATGGCCAACCTTATCCCGAAGCCGCACGCAGCCCTGTGCCAACCCAGACCCTGACTCTCGCTGAGGCTGTGAACGCTTATCTTCTGAAGCCATAGGGAGCCTTAGAAGTCACGCGTCTCAGAATTTGCCCACGCGGAGGCTCCGGCTCAGGAACTCGCAGGTCCCCACCGGCAGGAAGGGCACAGTGGAGACTGCCCCCACCCCTCGGCCGGGCTCGCTCGCCCTAGCTGAGGGCCTGCGCCCCCACCACCTAGGCTCCTCAGCCAGCAGCCCGGATAGCCACGCCCGGCGGCCTGGAGAGGGGCGGGGCTCAGAGCTCGACTGTGAGGCAGGGTGTGGGCGGGACGCGAGGGCGGAGTCTGACGGCGGGCAGGGGAGGAGTTCTGGCGGCGGGGCGGGGTGGGGGCGGAGCTCGGGCCGCGCCGTTCCAGCCTTGGGGGCGGGCCGCGGGTGCCGGGCCCCGTTCCGCCGCGCCGTGCCACTCTTCCGGTCCAGAGTTCCATCCGGCGCCGCCACCTTCCGCCCGGCGCCGGCTCTCGGCGCGACGGTCGCCCCGTTCCGTCGTCGTGCTGCCCTCGCGGCGCCGGAGCCCGCAATGTCGGGCCCCAACGGGGACCTGGGCATGCCGGCGGAGGCGGGCGTGGAAGGCGAGGATGACGGCTTCGGGGAAGCAGGTGACCCAGGGGGGCTGCTGAAGCGACCTTTGCTTTCTCAGGGCTGCCTCCTGGAAAGGAGAATCGGGGTCGGACTGGGGACTTGGAAGGGACCGCAGAGCCCTCCCACCCCTCGCTCCTGGGTGGGTTGCAGCTGCGGGCGCTGGCTGGAGGTTCAGGGCGAGCGTCAGTGAGTGGGTCCCTGGAAACCGCAGCACTGGAGAACTGCGGGCAACCGGCCCCGTTTTACAGATGGGGAAACTGAGACCGCTTCAGGGTCACTCGCCCTTTTGGCATCTGCTCCAGCCGCTTCCTCCAGCCCCTGTGGCGAGGGAAGTTCCAGAAGGGGCTGGGCGAGTGGGCCGTTTTGGCTTAGCGGGAGGGGCTGTCTGGGTGGGCGAACCCGCCCTGCTGAGTCAGCATCCCCAGCCACCTTTGCTGTGATCTGGAGTCTTGGCGAATGCGACCTGCTTACCGAGCAGCCTGTTGCCTACACAGCGCTGCGGGGGAGGGGGTGGATGGGTGGTGGAGAGAGAAGCAGCAGCTCCCCTCTCATCTTTGGGAGCCTCAGTTTCCCCATCTGTAAAGTAAGAATAATAATGTGTCTCCTGCATTGAGAGGTGTCAGGATTAAATGAAAAAACAAATGGAAAATAGTAGGTTCGAAGCATGCAAGTGAGCAGTTATTATTCTCTTTAGTGTAATAAAGATGGGTTTCTCGAGTCGGAAGACAGGACCTAGTAAATGTGAGATAAGTATGGAGTCTGCTTTTTGTTTTGTTTGGATAACAGCTTTATTGAGCTATAATTCACATACTATATAATGTATCCATTTAAATTTTACATGTCAGTGGGTTTTAGGATATTCAGAGTTGTACATCCATCACAATAGTTTTAGAACACTTTGATCACCCAGGGTCTGCATTTAATAAAAAGGTAGAGGGCCTCCCACAGGGTGGCAAATGGTGGACTGGCCAGTTTTCCCTAGGCACCGCAGGTCAACAGTGGCCAGATGTGTCAAATGGAGCCCACTGCAGTGGTGGGAGTGATCTGGAAAAGCCACCTAAGTGTCACAATGAGTAGATGTTGGCAGGTTCACAGGACTTGGTGCAGTGGGGAGGAGGCTGTCCCAGGCAGATGGCAAAGCTTAGAACTGGGAAGGGCCCTTGACATGGATAAAGCCTGGCCCCAGTGGTGTGGAAACACTCACCTCCCCCATCCTGCTTCGGGCCTGTGTCTCATGACACAAAATGTGCAGTGTTGATAATAATCATCTACTAAGTACTTGTCGCGGCCAGACCCTGTCTGAGTTCTTAATGTATTTGAATCCTTACAACAACCCAGCCCTTATTCCCTTCCCAAAAGATGCAGTCACTTGCTGGGGCAGAGCAGAGCTGGGAATGAAACCCGTGTGCCCCTGCTCTCTCTAAATCTTGGCTATGCCACCAACCAGCTGGAGGATCCTGGGTAGGTCCCTTCCTTCTTGGGCCTCGGTTTCCCCATCTGTACCACAAGGGGGTTGGACTCTTAAGATCCAGCAGAGACTTTCCAGGACTCTGTCCTCTGGGAGGTGTGCCAGCTCTGGGTGATGGTGGTTCCCCACCCCCCCACCCCCCCGAAGGCAGACACACTTGCACCCATATTCCAGACACACTCCTCCAGCCCTGGCCTTTTCCAAACACTGCCAGCCGCTTCCCCTCTGTCCCAAGCTGGCACCTGAGTGTATCTGAGTCATGGGCTGGCTCAGAACTGGGTCCGCAGTGGGCACAGGCCCAGCCCTTGGATCCTAAGAGACATTGTGTTGCTGAGAGGCAGGTCAGGAGTGGCCATGGAGGAGGGAGTGATGGTTTCTGGTGGACACCAGGGAAGGCTTCTTAGAAGAGGCGTTTTGAGCTGGTCCTTGAATAGCTGTTGTGGTTGAGGCATTCTGAGTGGCAGAGACAGGTGAGCAAAGGCAGAAAGGCTAGAAAGTCAGAGGCTTCATTCATTCATGCATTCATTCATTCAACAAGTGCTTATAGTGTGGCAATGAGGGCGTCAGGGGAACAGCAGTGAACACAAGAGCATTCCCCCTCTCGAGAGCTCTGCAGTCTGGTCGGGGAGACACAGCAGCACACGTAGCAGTCAGGCCAGAGGTGAAGGAGGGCAGTGGAGGCATGTGGAGGGCAAGGAGGTCAGACATAGAGGCTTGATCCCGTCTGGGGCATTGGGAGGTCTCTCTGTGGCAACACCCATGCTAAGACTTGAAGGAGGAGAGGGGGAGGGAAGCAAGACAGGAGAAGGACGCCCTGCAGGCAGAGGCAACAGCAGCATGTTTTAGGGGCCCCGAGGTGGGCAAAGGCGGGTGAGGAAAGGAAAGGGTATGGGAGACGGGGCTAGAGAGGGGGAGGGGCCTTGGGGCTTGGGAGGTTCTTTTCCCTCAGGGCAGAGGGAGCCTCAGAAGGGCTGGAGAGTAGAGCCCGCCTGGGGACTGGGGCTTTGATTGCCCGACTCGGGAAGGTGGGC